GTTAGAGAGCCAAGTACAGTGGCACATGCCTGTCATCCCAGAAACTCAGGAGGAGGATAGGGCAGTAGGATAACATGTTCAAGGACAGCTTGGCAATTTAGCAAGGCTTTAAGGGGCTGGGGATGTAGTTCAGTGGTAAAATAACCATTGGGTCAATCCCTAATACCAAAAATTTTTTTTCAAGAATCTCAGACCAGGGAGCAACTTCCAAAGGCCATCAGGATCTTGAAGTAGGCCTATGTCTAATACAAGGCAGAGGATTTCTAAGCCTATGTCTCAAGATCTCCAGGGAAGGAGAGTTTAGGACACTCCTGGTAGTTTATAGAAGTAATGTTTTGGTAGTGCCACCTGATTCTGATCTTCCTGCCTTTAGTAAATCATTTGAACATACCACCTTTTATTTGGCTTTTCTAGATGTAGAGAGAAACTGTAGCACACATTATCTAGGATAAACATTAAAAGGACACGTGCCTATAAAAATAGTGCCATTGATGCAACTGAGGTTCATAAAACATACTGGTAACAACAGGAAGAACATCTTAGGTTTGTTCTGAACAAAAAGAAGGAAGGTAGAAATACACTGTCAGAAATTATTTTAAAAAATACAAAGTTTGTAAGCTTATAATAGATTAATTCAAAATCAAATATAGATTATTTTGTTAATAAATTATTAATAAAGACTGTATGAAAGATAAGAAAAAAAGAAGGAAGGTGACATAAGAAGGATAACCATACATAATTTATCAACCAAATCAGGACACTTTTGAGAGTGAAAGGGGCACCAAAATAACAAGCACTAACAGAGCTGTACCAGGCTGCAAAATCTTGGACAACCTGGCAATAAGGCTAAATATAGCTTCTGAATTAAAACAACAAGAACAATGTTTTTAAATTTAAGAGGATAGAACAATGGGGAAGAAGGAACTAAATGCCAAGATAGTTGAGGTATTAGTAAGTGAATATATAGCTGTTTGAAATCCATGCATTAATTTGTTAATTAATTCCATACAAATTTGTTGAGTACCTACTTTGTTTCAGCTTTTGTTCTAAGTGATGTTCACATCAACAAGTTGTATAAGGATAGTCCTTGCCCTTGATCAATAATTTGCAGAGAGACAGATTTATATCCATAGGTGAGTGTATGTTACATAGAAATAAATATCAAATATATAACTAAACAAAATGCTGTAGGAGTTGAAGTCTGCAAGTCCAAATCAATAAGATAGTAAAAAAAAAGGCTTCTTAGATATAATTTTGAAAAAACTTTCTTAACCTTGAAGAAATTATAAAGAACTAAAGTTTTTAAAACATTTACTTATTTCACTTTTACAATTTTCTTTTTGTGTATTATTATTATTATTATTATTATTATTATCAGCACTGGGAATGGAACTCAGAGCCTTGCTCAAGCTAGGCAAGGATTCTACCACTAAGCTCCACCCCAGCCCCAGCCCCAAGGAATCCTGTGTCCACCCCAGAATCTGCATTTTAAATAAATATCTGAGTGTACAAATAGGATAGTAAAGTATGGCTCTAACCCAGTAGTTCTTGTTGCAGAGGAGATACATCTATGGAGCCAAAGTGGCAGAGGGGGTCCATAGGCACCAGTTCTTGCGATCCTGCAGGAAATATTGCAAAGGAGTTGCACTGAGTGTAACAAGAGCTTATTAGCAAAGTGAGAAATGAGGGGGACATACAGTATAGGCACTGCATGGACTACCTCCAGAGGGAATGGAGGTTCTCACAGAGTCTACTTTTTGTTTGTTTGTTTGTTTGTTTTGCAGTTCTGGGGGGTTGATCCCAGGGGCATTCTATCACTGACCTGCATCCCAGCCCCTTTTTATATTTTTTATTTTGACACCTGGTCTCACTACGTTGCTGAGGCTGGCCTCAAACTTGTAATCTTCTGCCTCGGCCTCCCAAGTTGCTGGGATTACAGGTGCCTTTCAAAGTGCCCACCAGAGTCTGGGGTTTTTAAGGGTTTGAGTTTCCTTTGTTCTTGCTTAAGTTTCACATTCCCTCCTTAAGTGTTTTTTTCATTTGGTTTTTTTGTTTGTTTGTTTGTTTGTTTTAACCTTTATATAACCCTCAGCAAATTTCTTGTGTGAGAGTCAGTGATGACCTAGTCACAAGGGGAGGGTCTTGATGACATGGTCAACAAGGTGTGGGTGTGTCATGATTTTGAAATAAGGAGTTTTAATTAACTGTGGGTGGGGAAGATTTGGCATACCAGTTACCACTTTCCAGATTTTTGTCTGTTTTGATAAGGTTCTCTGTGGTCCCCTATATTGTGAGGTCCTCTCTCTAAGTCACCAACCTTCATTTTCCTTCTCCCATCTACTTGCTCATGGCAGACCAGCTACCTAAAAGTTCTCAAATATTAGCATGACTCAAGATCACCTGGAAGGCTGGTTACACCATGAATTGCTGGGTTCCACCACGAGAGTTTTAGATTCACTTGGTCTGGAGAGGGGCCCAAGAATTCATCAAGTTCCAAGGTGATGTTGATGCTACTGGTCCCAAGGACCATACTCTGAAGAGTTAGCATGACCTATCTGAGTTCAGCCTTAATTTCTAATGATTTGGTCACCTCCTCCTCTTTGTCTTTGCACCAAAGCACTACTGAGGAAATTGGAATTAGCCCCAACCCTCAGTTATCAAATCAATCTCTACTCTTGTGTCAATACAGAAAACAATGAGCTCACAAACCTGTCAAGGTCACCACAGCTAAGCAGACACTCCCCCCACAGACATACCCTTTGCCCCTGTTCTCTGAGGGGCAGGATTGGACCAGCAGTGAACAGCAATGTTTGACCTCAGGGTTTCACTAGGGCCTAATACAGAGTGCAGCAGCCAAATCAAAATAAGTTTCCCCACAGGTGGTAAGCTTAACTCTGAGAACAGAAGTCTACTCTGGTCACTTTTACAAGGGGTATCATACCTGAGGGGAACTCCTGAATTTCTTCTCCAAGTTCTATGATCCCTGGGGCTTTACCAGCATCCTTCAAAGGCATTCCTGAAAAGGGCAGGGACTAAGGAACTATGGGAAGCCTAAAATGTGGGAAGAAATCCTGGGGAGGGTTTTTAAAAACAAAGCTTGTAATTCTTACCAAACTTCTGACTCACACTTCCAAGGAGTATAATACCCTTTCAAATAATGATCCCCTCACCATCTGTGAAAAAGTACTCTGTCTCAGTTGGAAGCTCGCTAGGACTTCAACCATGAATAGCTTATTTTTTTATAAATTATTCTAGGCTTTGTCTGTGGAACTGATAGGACTGGATGCTTCCATTTCTACCCTTGGAAGTTTCTTTTTATTTTGTTCTGCTTTGAGAGAAAGTCTCACTGTATTGTCCAGGATAGGGTCAGAACTCCTGGACTCAGATGATCCTCCTGCTTCAGCCTTCCAAGTAGCTGGGAGATCAGGAAGTGCCATAGCACTCAACTGGAAGTTTCATGACAGTGCTATCATATGAATATTAGGGTGGGGATGGGGAAGATGAGAAAAGGAAATAAGCCAGAGTCTGTGCTCTAGTTAATCTAAGGGGCCTACAGGACTTGCTGCCCAGAAAAGTGCTTCAGAATTGCTTAGAACTTCACAACTTATAGTCCTGCCACATAACTCTCCACAGAGATTTACATAAGAGAACAGGAGACCAGAGAATTATCATGACTTTGCGCTCAGCTAGTAATTGGTATGTATGATTGAGATTTAAATTCAGGCCTTATGCCAGCCATGGTGGTGCATGCCTATAATCCCAGAAACTTGGAAGGCTGAGGCAGGAGGATTGCAAATTTGAGGCCAACCTCAGCAATTTAGCAAGATCCTGTCTCAAAATAAAAAAAAAAATTAAAAAGGGCTGCGGATATGGCTCAGTGGTAAAGCACCCTGGTACCAAAAAATAAAAAATAAAAAAATAAAAATCCAGGCAGTATGACAGTATGATCTCAAATCTAGTGCTCTAAGCACCTCAGCAGAGCTGGTGCAAACACAGTTGTAGATGCCTGCACCCCAAAGGCACCCCATGGACCCTGTAATGTAGTCCAGAGTTCTGTCTGGAATTCTACCCCTTCTTTCTAACTGCTTGTTCCCAGAACATCAGAGACGTGGTGAAATCCTATCAAGAACCACTGCAGTGGTCAACATGAAAATTAACTCTAAACTTGGATATACTATTTTAGAGACTTTATTAGACTGAACATAGAGGTACATTTTTTTTTGTTTTTAGTACCAGGCATTAAACTCAGGGTCACTTAACCACTGAGCCACATCCCAGGCCATTTTTTTAATTAGTTACACATGACAATACAATGATCTTGACATATCATACATTTGAATCAGATGGGATATAATTTCTAATTTTTCTGCGTGTACAGGTTGCAGAATTACATTGGTCATGCAGTCACGTAGTGACAAAAATCTAAAGGCATTTCCTTCCTCTTCAGACCCTATGGGTTTTTCACAGTTTAGTTTTAGTTTTTATTTTGAGACAGGGTCTTGCTAAGTTGTTTAGGGCCTCATTAAGTTGCTGAGGCCAGCCTCAGATTTACAAACCTCCTGCCTAGGCCCTCCAAGTTGTTGGGATTACTGTCATGTACCACCATGCCTGACTGTGGAGGTGCATTTTAAGCACTATAATAATTTGCATAGCAAATTCTGCTCAGTAGTTACTGAAGCACCTATCTGAGGATACATGTGGGGATTCCAAATTCTTAAGTGCTGCTTAAGCTATTAGGTTTAGGTGAAAAGATAAAAGCAACAGGGGGCAGGAGCTTGTTGGGTAATATAAAAACAAATGCTAGTTCACCACCATGTAAGGCCACTGTCTATGGTTGAAGTTCTAAAATGAGTTACTTTGAGGAAATAAGTTTTTTTCATAATCCCTCAGTTTTTAGCAATGCTATCTACCTCTTGATACTTTTCTGGAAAAACAAGGATGTCTTCCCAATCCCCCTTATGTTGCTGGCATGCAATCAAAAGTCAAGGAAAACCACATACCTGTGAGAAGCTCTTTGTACATATCCCCGTTGTTCGTCATCCTGTAGTCAGATTGTCTCTAAAATAAATGCTTACTCTCTTGGGAATCTTCAAGACCTCAAGATGATTGCTCTAAGCTCTTTGGACATGTGACCAAAATCCAAAGGCATTTCCTTCCTCTTCAGACCCCATGGGTTTTTCACAGGCACTGGGGGAAGTTGCTCAGAAATGCCAAAATCTTTCTTAGCATTGGTTTCAAAAGCAAACCGGAATTTCTGCTTATCACAAATTCCTCCAGGAGCTCTTGAGTTTGCTTCGTTGGCTCAAGCCTTGTGTCTGGAACAATTCCACCCAGAAGACCTGGAATTGCATATGTGGATTGGTAGAGAGAAGTATTTCTCCTCTTTCTTTCTTGGAACTTGTGTGCTTTCTTTCATCAAGATAGAAGAAATAAGGCTAGAGATGTGGCTGAAGCAGTAACGCGCTCGCCTGGCATGCGCGGGGTGCTGGGTTCGATTCTCAGCACCACGTAAAAATAAAATAAAGATGTTGTGTCCACCGAAAACTTAAAAATAAATATTAAAAAATTCTCTCTCTCTCTTCTCTCTCTCTCTTTAAAAAAAAGATAGAAGAAATAAAAGAAAGAACAACAACAACAAAAAGGAGACATAAAGGAAGGACAAGGAAATGTGATTTTAATTTAAAGTTCCACATGATTTTCCAGTCCTTGTTACTCTCAAATTTCTGGGAAATCTGTAAATCTTAAAGTTACCATAATTTCTCCCACTTATGAAAATTACCTTGTACACTGTTCATTAGCTTAAGCGATAAATAATTGAGCAAAAAATATCTTAAGAAGCCATAATTTAGGGGATTTTCCAACATTATCTACTGATCAAATAATGAAGACCACATCAGCCGAAGAATCATCTTGTGATCACCAGACTGATGTCATTCCCACATACTTTCTCATGCCTACACCTCACCAAGTTCCTGTAAAAGAAGAACTTGAGAATCCCCAAAGTGCCTCTCACTCTTGAGATGGCCTCATTCTCTCTTCAGTGTGTACTCCCTTTTTTTTTTTTTTTTTTACTCTAAAAGGTGTCTCTCCTTGAGATAGGCCTCATTCTCCCTTGAATATGTGTCTACTTTCTTAAAACAAAACAACAGCAAAAAACAACTCTCTGTGTCTCTGACTGGCATGGGATGAAATTCTTTTCCATCATATATGCCAAGGACCCCACTTGCCCTGAGTCAAGTTCCCTCATCTTCAATAACTTCTCTGGACTCTTCCAGTAACAGCCCCAAATGTGGTGAAACCTTCTGACCAGATGGCATGACTCTGCTTCCTTCCCTTTTGACTTCTTTATTCTACCACAAACTTGGCTTCCTGATTGAAGGGATTTCCCATATTGTCCTGCAATTACTTTGGTATGGGGTATAGAATAGATTTTTTACTCCTAAAATTGTGGCCAAGAGAAGCTTACAAAGAGACTGAATCCTGAAGTCACCACACTATCAAGAACTGATTTGAAGCAATAACTAGAAGGTGGGAAGAAGAAACACCATGAAAGTTGACTTACATGACCAGCCTTTGGCAGAACTGAGAAATTCCTAGGCAGGTCCTGATGATTAAACCTTAGTATTCTAATCTTTTATTATTATTATTATTAGTTGTTCAAAACATTACAAATCTCTTGACATATCATATTTCATACATTTGATTCAAGTGGATTATGAACTCCCATTTTTACCCCGTATACAGATTGCAGAATCACATCGGTTCCACATCCACTGTTTTACATATTGCCATACTAGTGTCTGTTGTATTCTGTTGCCTTTCATATCCTCTACTATCCCCCTCCCCTCCCGTCTTCTCTTTCTACCCCATCTACTGTAATTCATTTCTCTCTCTCTCATTTTTTTCCCTTTCCCCTCACCTCCTCTTATATGTAATTTTGTATAACAATGAGTGTCTCCTTCCATTTCCATGCAATTTCCCTTCTCTCTCCCTTTCCCTCCCCCCTCTCATCCCTATTTAATGGTGATCTTCTTCTCATGCTCTTCCTCCCTGCTCTGTTCTTAGTTGCCCTCCTTATATCAAAGAAGACATTTGGCATTTGTTTTTTAGGGATTGGCTAGCTTCACTTAGCATAATCTGCTCTAATGCAATCCATTTCCCTGTAAATTCCATGATTTTGTCATTTTTTAGTGCAGAGTAATACTCCATTGTGTATAAATGCCACATTTTTTTTTATCCATTAATCTATTGAAGGGCATCTAGGTTGGTTCCACAGTCTAGCTACTGTGAATTGTGCTGCTATGAACATTGATGTAGCAGTATCCCTATAGTACACTCTTTTAAGGTCTTTGGGGAATAGACCGAGAAGGGGAATAGCTGGGTCAAATGGTGGTTCTATTCCCAGCTTTCCCAGGAATCTCCATACTGCTTTCCAAATTGGCCGCACCAATTTACAGTCCCACCAGCAATGTACAAGTGTACACTTTTCCCCACATCCTCGCCAGCACTTGTTGTTGTTTGACTTCATAATGGCTGCCAATCTTACTGGAGTGAGATGGTATCTTAGGGTGGTTTTGATTTGCATTTCTCTGACTGCTAGGGATGGTGAGCATTTTTTCATGTACTTGTTGATTGATTGTATGTCCTCCTCTGAGAAGTGTCTGTTCAGGTCCTTGGCCCATTTGTTGATTGGGTTATTTGTTATCTTATTGTTTAATTTTTTGAGTTCTTTGTATACTCTGGATATTAGGGCTCTATCTGAAGTGTGAGGAGTAAAAATTTGTTCCCAGAATGTAGGCTCCCTATTTACCTCTCTTATTGTTTCTTTTGCTGAAAAAAAACTTTTTAGTTTGAGTAAGTCCCATCTAATCTTCACATATCTCTGAAAGTTTTTGGGGGCCCAAATTATCTTCTGCCAGGTATGTCATGCTCTAGAAACTTGAGGATACACCTTCCTATGATAACTTAGTACACCTCACTGTTAAGCCCTGGACTACAAGTAAAGGCATAGTTCAGAAAAAGAGATGGAAGCAGAATAATATATTCTGCAATAACTTCATAAAGGTGTGAAGTTGGACTATCTCTTAAGAAGATCTTTTGTTTGTGGATCTGGAAACATTCCCTACTAGGATTCCTGAAGTTTGTTTCTATGCCTTCTTGATGGGAGGACTCTCTTTTAGCTTTTTCAATACTCCCATACTATGCACACTCTCTTATTTTCCAGTAATAATAACTAATGACAAGGATTATATACATTTATCATGTGTCAGGCATTGTAATAAATACTTTATATGTATCTATTCAGATAACAAAAAACTCTGTGTGATAAATATTAGTATTGATCCAGTTTTTAGATGAGAAAACTGAGACAGAGAATGATTAAGTAGCCCAAGGTCACTGAGCCAGTAAGAAGCAGAACTGCCATGGTATGCTCTGTTTAGCCAGGATCCCACATGGCTTCTCTTGATCCAATGTATTTTCTGCTGGTGCGCTGGGCAAGTATCCTCTCCTTGGGATCCTGACTCTTGCACAAGGCACTGCCAGCTCTTCTCTCTCTCTCTCTCTCTCTCTCTCTCTCTCTCTCTCTCCAGATGCATTTCTTAAATCAATGCACAACCCCCTTGCACTTCTCCTGGGTATGACAAGAAGCCATCCAATTTTTCAGTCTGTCCAATGGAGAAATATCTAGAGGGTACCTGGAGGGAAGGAGAAAAGGAGAAGGGGAAATGACAGATTTAAGATTATTTTGCTTTTGGTACTGTGGTAACTCCTCCGGAGAATAGAAATGAGTATGGGAGGTGGCCTCTTCTTCATTTCTCTCCTAAAGAATCTATAGAGAGTAAAGGGATCATTGCCTGGTCTTTCAACAACAGGGTCAAGGCAAGGAGGGTGGGCACTTAACCAATGAGCCATGTCCCCAACCCATTTTCTTTTCTTTCTTTCTTTCTCTTTCTTTCTTTTTTTTTTTTTTTTTTGGTGTGTGTGTGGTACTGGGGATTGAACCAAGGGCCTTGTGCATGTGAGGCAAGCACTCTACCAACTGAGCTATATCCCCAGCCTTATTTTTGTTTTGAGACTGGATCTTGCTAAGTTGTTTAGGGCCTTCCTAAATTGCAGAGACCTGTAATTCCAGTGGCTCAGGAGACTAAGGCAGGAGGATAACAAGTTTAAAGCCAGCTTCAGCAACTTAGCAAGGTCCTGAGCAATTTAGCAAGACCCTGTCTCCAAATAAAAAGTAGAAAGGACTGGGGATGTAGCTCAGTTGTAAAGTGCTCCTGGGTTCAATCTCCAGTACCAAATAAAAAAAAGAAGAAAGGGGAAAGGGAGGAGAGGGGGAGATAAGGAAGAGGAGGAAGAGAAAAAAATAATATTGTTTATTAATATTAATATGTTTGCACAGATAACTCTCTGAACTCAACATGGGAAAAACTGAGAAAAGAAAATCAAGAAACCAGTGATGAATAGAAAAGAATGGCTCAAAGACAGAAAATTCATCAGAAAAACTGAAGCTTTGTTGAGACTTATAAAAATTAGTTAAAGGAAACAAAAGAAAATAAAAGCCATTTTACTCTACAATCTGAGCTACCAGAGAAAGAGAGGGTACAGACAGTGTAATATTACTAATGACAGCAAAGAGAAGACTTGCTCAATTTCTATTCTGTTTCTACATTGTTATTTTCTTTTCAGTGCTGGGATTGAACCCAGGGCCTCACAGAGGCTAGGCAAGTGCTTTACCAAGCCACAGCCCTCTACTTGTTCTACCAAAAGGAATATAGTTTTCTTAGAAATAAGGAAATGGAAATGCAATAATTTCGGGGAGAAGAAACAGTTGATCAAAGACAGGAGATGTCCTAATACTTAAATGTGTTAAGTGGCTAATTTGGCAACTGAAGTGTAGAAAGTGGGTAAAATTGAGGGGCTGGGGTTGTGGCTCAGTGGAAGAGCACTTGCCTGGGATATGTGAAACACTGGGTTTGATCCTCAGTACCATATAAAAATAAATAAATAAAAGGTAGGTATTGTGTCTATTCCACCCCCAAAAAAGATGGCTTATAATGAAGTTAAGCTCATGAACAGCTTGTTAAGCTGTCAATGTAGTGATTTTAGTCTGGGAAAGTTTTTCCCCAAATAAGCT